TAGTTAAAAATCTTAAACTTTTTAATTTTCAGAATTACGGAGGTTCCGTTTCTTCAGGTCATAGTTTTCTGGCCACTTCAATTGCTGATATAGAAGGTTGGTTTAAAAGATTAAATGCAAACTATATAGCAATGTATTATTCTTTGGTCAAGTTAGGCAGTTAATTGTTTATTCCAAGAAACATTCAAATATTAGATCAACTAGATGTTTAATCCTTTATGCTCTATAAAAATAGACAGGGTCAACAGATGCTGTCAGAATAGCACAAACTCATAATTTCCCTCATGAGGAAAAAATATCTCTCATGAATTAGGGATATTTTTTCCTAATATTAGATCATTGGGTTGAAGTTTTTGAATCTATTTTTAACTTCTTTGTGTGTTGATACAAATCAGTCTGCATTTGCTTTTGTTTTTCCCGCTTTCAATAATATGAATACTGATGTATACAATTTTTGAGTTTTGAATTACCATGTTATAGTTGGAAAATGGTGTCAGAAAGTAAATGCAACAGTATATGTATTACATAATCTGGAAAATATGATTTAGGATGATTTGTTTAAAAATATGAATGGAACTAATTTTTTTTTACTATTTTTCCCATTTCTGAATTGCCCATCTCAAAGCACATTTGAAGTTAGTTTTAATTTGGTTTATAAGAAATTTACAGTAAGAATAATATTTATTCAACCTGCTAAACAGTATTTTATTTTTCATCTTTGTCCTCATATTTTTTCTTTTTGAAATAATTTGCAACCAACATATTTAAATAGACACTTTTTAATCCTTATTTAACTTGTTCAAAGAATCCGGTATTACAGATATGAATGAAAATATTCCCAGGTGTTTGCGTGGACATGGGTTTTCAAGAAAGTCACAAAATTATATACCAAAGTAAGCAATATTTGACTTCCTTTTCAGTATTTCATTTACTTATTTATCAAATGTATATTGCTGTCCATCCCACATAAAGTGATAACAATTCCTTATATTTCTTTGTGAATGGGTAGAAAGGAGGAGAAAAAATGCTCAGGTATCTCTATTAGCTACAATTAAGGCAAGATCAATAATCTTTCTATTTCCATGAATCACATCAAAAAAAGCCCTAGTGAGCAGGAGAGTTATCCATATAAAATTGGTAGATGTGAGTGTTTTTCTTTTTTTTTAAACTACGAAGAGCTTTACTGTACAATTGCATTATCATTTTGTATCTACCTCACAACACTGGAAAAGTGGAGTGGTTAAAAGGGGTCCCAAAATTCCCAAAGGAGTTGCATGTGGTTTTGAATTTGCTCATGGGTAATCTAAAATTTGCTCATGGGTAATCTTAAGACATACAGGGACTCAGTAGCTAAGACTCTGAGCTTGTCGATCAAAAGGTCAGCAGTTCAGTGGTTCGAATCCCTAGTGCCGCGTAACGGGGTGAGCTCCCGTTACTTGTCCCAGCTTCTGCCAATCTAGCAGTTCGAAAGCACATAAAAAATGCAAGTAGAAAAATTGGGACCACCTTTGGTGGGAAGGTAACAGCATTCCGTGCACCTTTGGTATTTAGTCATGCCAGCCACATGACCATGGAGACGTCTTCAGACAGCGCTGGTTCTTTGGCTTTGAAACGGAGATGAGCACCACCCCTAGAGTCGGGAACGACTAGCACATATGTGCGAGGGGAACCTTTACCTTTTTAATCTAAGACATGTTTTCAAGGTGCTGATGCTTACCTATAAAGCCCTTCATGGCTTCGGCCCGGGGTACTTGCAGAACTATCTCCAGCTGCTCTCCCATTGTCCTGTGCACTCTCACAGAGTCGGCCTCCTCAGGGTGCCGTCGGCCAAACAATGTCGGCTGACGGCCCCCAGGAGGAGAGCGTTCTCTGTGGGAACCCCGACCCTCTGGAATGGATTGCCCACTGAGCTCAGGACAGCCCCCGATCTTCTTTCCTTCCGTCGCGAGCTGAAGACGTGGCTCTTCTGTCAACTCAACTGATCCGTTTGGGGGTACACTGTCATAATTTTAAACTGTTTTAATAGGGTTGCTGATTTTAATTTTATTTCATTGTGATTTGTATTGGAATTTGTCATTTTGTAAGCCGCCTTGAGACCCCAGGAGAAAGGCGGCATATAAATCGCAATAATAAATAAATAAATAAATAAATGTTTTGTAGGATTACAGAACAGTTTCTTTCACTAAAACATAAGATATACCATAGATCAGTGGTCCCCAACCCCCGGTCCGCGGACCGGTGCCGGGCCGTGGAGTACCTGGTACCGGGCCACGCAGCGGCCGGGGGACATGAACGCTGCAGCGCACGGCCCAGGAGCCTTTGCGCTGCAGCGTTCATGTCCCCCGGCCGCTTTTGCGCACTGGGCCGTGCGCAAAAGCTCCTGGGCCGTGCCCCCACCCCTGCGCACGCTCAGCGGGCCGCGGCGATAAAAAGGTTGGGGACCACTGCCATAGATGATCAACTGTGTTCTCTTCTATAGTACATTCCTTTCTACATAATACTCTGATGGCAGGAAGCTCGGGGGAGGGGGAATTGTCATGAATGGTCACAGATAAATAAAAATAAGGTCCAGTCAAAGCAACATTATTTTTCTCTGTGTTGCTCTATGTCACTGGATTTATTTAATCACTGTCCACTGAGATGATTAATTATTCCTTTATCAATATATTGAGATGATTAGTATTGGTATATCACCTATGGAAAAATGATGGGCATAGTGAGAAGTGAGAAGAAAAACAGGCATTAATAGCCAGAGATTATCTACCATTAGAGTTGGTCATTAATTTCTTTTAGAACCAAATAAAGAGAAGTGAATAGATGAAAGGACACTATATTTTAGCTTACTGCAAAACAGTTGTTTCTTTATATAAAATAATAGATATCATTTGAAACAATATGTTTTCCCAAAATGATCAAATCATTTTCTCAGTTATAGTTCTCCCAATTGATTGACAGTCATTCAGAAGAGGTTAAACAATAGTTTTTCCTGTTTATATAGGATGGAATCTTCTGAACGAAAAGCATATGCGTTGTTATGGAGTTTTGCTCTTCCCCAGTATATTTTCAATGTGGGGAAGAAACAAATATGCATTGGAAAAAGCTAATTAAGGGATTTATTTAACTCCAGTTTAAATTAACTAATTCATAAAAAAAGAAAAAAAAACTGTTATATCAAGTATTGTTGGATGAACTGGTTAGACCAGATAACAGGTAGACTTGTCTAAAAATAATATAATCAACATCAATTATATTAAATTAATGTTCTGTTTAGTGAGATGTCCAGGGTTGTTGTTTTTGTTTTTTTTAAACAACCTGCATATGTTGATGTACAAAACTTCATAACATATACTTCTTTAATATTCGCAATCTCCCCAAAAAACACTTTCATATGAAAATTTGAATCACATAAGAGCGATGGATACTAGCAGATATCATATGTTCTGCTGTCAGTGTTAAGGTAGAACTCATATTGGTTGATCACTATATTTGACTAACAGAAATCAATTATGAGTTTCTTGTACATTATGCATTGTTCACACCACAAGTGACAGTTTTGTCATTGTTGATATCACAAATGACAATTATTAAAATCCTAAGATTATTTTGCTATGTTGAATATGTGAAAATATTCTGGTGTTAAAATTATTATCTTCTGAAATACAGCATCAAGTTCAGTAGCATAATATTATGCTTTGATGGGCTTTATACTTCTTATGTGATATGTCATGTATCAATTTCTTTGAAATGCATCAGAGTCATTAGTTTATTGTTTGTGTATAGAGGTGGGGGTTTTTTTAAGTTAAAAAGATATGGTCAATATACCTGTGCTGGGAGCTCTTTTGCTGCTTTTTTCCTGGTATTTGTATCAGACTGATCAAGTTTTGTTTCTTTGCTAGAGTTTCCAGCATTAGCTATAATGATGGAAGAATCAGAAGAAGAGAACTCATACAGAAGGATTATGAGGAAACATTTCTGGAAGGATTTGGAGAGGAAAATGTTTTTTAACAAAATATATTTTAATCCAGTAATTTCCTGACAGAATACAGATTCAGTGGAATATTCCTGAACTAAAGGGGAAAATATTTTTTACCAGTTCTTTAACTCATTAGCTCTAGCACAGGGCAGTACACTTAAAAGACTGCAGTGAAAATGGAGAGGTAAAAACTATTGGTATAGTTCAGCATCCAAATCTATGCAATTATTCTCTGTCATTGGAAAATTATGGAGATAATGGAGACTATGTTTCTAGAATTCAATAGTTCAGCTAATTGGGTTTTTTTTCTTCCCCTTCTTGGTTTATTTAGCTTAAGTGGCTATAAGAAACATCTTTTGCGGTTCTTAATTTGTTTGATCTGCACCTCTGGAAAGAGGTTATTGGGACTTGGATATAAATGTGTTTTTATAAAGTGCTTTTAACTTACTATTCAATAAGCTCATGCTTTAGAAAAAATCTATTTCATTGAATATATAATTTTTTAAATTTTATTTTAAATATACCTAAGATTTGACACATATATCTTCATCTAATAAACATTTCAATATGTTTGTATTTTGACTGAGTTTGTTATAAATCTGCTACTGGAATGTGTAAGACTCTTAATTTCACCTAGGATAAGTCTCCTTATTTGTTTATCTATTTTCTAGGCCACCCAAGACGGAGCATAGAAGGTTTGGCTTATGGAAAAAAAAAACTATAAATTAAAAATAAAATACAGTAGATAGTGATATCTGGGGGGGAACAGCAAAAAAGTTGTTCCCCACCATTTGGTGTTCTCAGTCAGCAGAAATGAGGCCAACAAGAAAGGCTCAATTCTATAAGGCTATCTTGTGAAGGAAAGTCATTTCAATCTAATTTTTTTGCTTGAACGGGTCAGGTGAAATGAGGAAACTACCAGGACAAAGTACATCTAAGGCTGATGTTACCTAGTTAGAGTAATGAAACAGCTGCAAAAATAAGCAAGTTCAGAGAGCACCAAGGAACTCTCATTTCAACCGTCAGCTACAAATATTCTCTTTTATTGATAAGTTAAAATACATTTATTAAATAATTATTAGAGGAAGCATTACATAATACATATTTTGGAACTGGTTGTTTATTTTCATGTCAAATTACTGTATTTTTCGGAGTATAAGACACCTACCTTTTTTGATGAGGAAAAGAAGAAAAAGAAATCTCCCTCTGCCTCAGCAATTTTGCCTCATTACAGCAAACAGCCTGCTTTACTTTCATTTTCGTTTTCAGCATAGCTTGATTAGCATAAGGAAAAGAAAATCTGCTCCAGCAATCTACCTCTTTGGAGCAAGCAGCAGAGGCCTGCGCAAAACAGCTGAGACCAAATCAGCTGACAGTCGGGAGACGATCCAAACAACTTGTGTTAATTAGGCTGTGCTGAAACTGAAAGGGGCTGTTTTTTCTTGCTGTTTACTTGCAAGGAGGTAACTGCTGCAAGGCAGGCCAAAGGGTGGGGCCAGTGGGTGGGCGATTTACTTCCTGGAACTATACCAGCTCTACAAATTTTCTCTTGAATTTGTTAAGTATGAACAAAAAGCAACCGTTACTAGTAATCCAAAAAAGTATGTCAGATTTAAAGGTCACCGACTAATTTCAAGAAAATAAAATGTGCTTAATTCAAACTTCATTGCTATATCATGAGATTTCCAATGCATTCATGTAGTTTTTATTGCAAGTCAATATTTTGGACTGAATGGAACAGGTATATCTGGAGAGCAATTAAGAATATCACTTCTTACAGAATACATTATAAAACAGTGGTGTAAAAGTCAATAGCAATCACTTAAATACAATGAAAAATGTCAAATTCTTCCTTGGAGATTTATTTTTATACCTCATTTACTACTTCCTTTACAGACCATTTAATTCAGATGCTCAAGACATTACATACTCATTGAGTAATTGGGATTGACTCTTAACAGTTCTTAACTAGCAGGAAACTAAATACATGCCAACATTACATTTGCTAGCTGTACAACTGTTAATTAGATGAATCAAAGCTGATACATTATTCCCCAATTAACCTTAAATATTTCCTGATGTTATTACATGGGCAGTATGGCAAGTTATAATTATACTGAGCAGAGCTGAATGAGTAAGTTTTTCTCAGGAAGTTAGCAAAATTTTTGTTAATGGTTCTAATCTAATGGAATATAACTGCTTTATAATAAAGACAGTAATTTGGCTCCTACTCATATGAACCAGGTGGAGGGTATAACCAGTTCCATGCTGGCCTGTTAAAGGACCAAGCAAGTTTCCCCTGTGCCCAGACAATTTCTGGCATGATCCAGACTTCTAAGCACCATGTTAACATGTAATTAAAAGTCTCAAAAAGTTATGAATCGTTCCTCTACAGAACTCAATGGCACAAATTATTTTGTTCACACAATCATTTATCTAACTTGGCAATTGACTGTCTCAGTGAATGTTTAAATTGAGAAAATGATTTGGTTACTAAAACATGACATCATTTGCATTGTGTTTTAAACCAAACTCTCTGAACGAATCAACCTGAGAAGTATTTTCAGACAACTTATTTTCAGCACTGAGTTGTTCACTGTTGAGATAAATGCAAGACAGTGTGGAGTTGTTTTTGGTAAGTTGATTTTCACCCATTTCTAATGTAGGATATTTCTTTTTGGGCTGAATTTTGTGCTTTCTTCGGACACTATGATCAAGGGAAGCATAACACATTTGACGTTCAGCTGTCTGCTACAAAAAAGAAGCAATTCATATTATTAGTCATGTCATTTAATATGGTGTCAAACAGTTAATGGTAAAAGTAACAATTCAGTTGTATGATACACCTAAATGAAATATAAATTTTGTGTTTGAACATTGGACGCTATCTAACAAAATGAAATTCAGTGGTGAAAAAAGTAAGGTTCTACACTTAGGCAAGAAAAACCAAATGCACAGGTACAGTATAGTTGGAACCTGGCTCAGTAGCAGTAACTCTGAGAGGAATCTTGGAGTCCTAGTGGACAATCACTCTAAAATGAACCAACAGTGTGCTGCAGCTGCCAAAAAAGCCAACACAGTTCTAGGCTGCATTAACAGGGATAGAATCAAGTTGATGTGAAGTGTTAATACCACTTTGTAATGCCTTGGTAAGACCATGCACTACATCCAGTTTTGGTCACAATGTAAAAAAGATGTTGAGACTCTAGAATCTAGAAAGTGCGCAGAGAAGAGCATCAAAGATGATTATGAGACTAGACTCTAAAACATAAAGAACGATTGCTGGAATTGGGTATGTCTAGTTTAAAGAAAAGACTGACTAGGGATGATGTGATAGAAGTCTTCCAATATCTCAGGGGTTGCCACAAAGAAGAGGGAGTCAAACTATTCTCCAAAACATCTGAAGGCATGACAAGAAGCAACGGATGGAAACTAATCAAGGAGAGAAGCAACTTAGAACTAAGGAGAAATTTCCTGACAGAATAATTAATCAGTGGAACAACCTGTTAGAAATTAAAGAACATTTATATAAACAAGCATGTACAAACCTGTACATCAGTGGTGGATCTAGGAGAAGGGACATTCATTTGCTCATAACAACTTTCATCTGAAAATAAGTTTTGATGTAGAATGTTTTAAAATAGTTATTCTATATTATTATCAATCATATAAAGTTCTGCACTGACCTGTTATTTTTCAATACCATGCGGTACAGCAGTTATAACTATACTGTGCTGGTAAATACCTGACATATCTCACTTCCTCTAGATCGGGGTGTCAAACTTGCAATGACATATTGTTGTCATGTGACGTATCACAACTTTTTCGTCATTCACTAAAATGGGTGGGCGTGGCCAACGCATGCATCTAGCCCACAGGCCGCGAGTTTGACACCCCTGCTCTAGACTAAGGAAGAGGAGTGCAGTATAGTACTCTGCATCCACTTTCTTGCTGGGTAGATATTTAAACTGAACTGAAGTAGCTCCTAAGATGAGAAGTGAAACATTTTCATGGAAAAAAACAAGAAAGTCCAGTTGCCTTTTGAAAAAGCACCTTTGCACCATGACATGAATTACTGAGAATCTCCATAGACATAGAAATGTAAAAAAGTTATGGGCTTGTCCACAGAGATCATCACTCAAGCATGATTATATTGTAATTAGAAGATTTTACTTATTCTAATTCCCTGCAATGATATTCCAGATATACAGCTCTTTAGTATATAAAGTTTTTTACCTTCTGATTAGTAATGACAACATCACTAATATGGTGGCCTAATTTTCAATTCCAACAGTTAACACAAATAATTCAAATAATCAACAATGATTACCATATATTTAATTGTTTTTATATTCATTTATATGGACCATTAATCCCAATAAAAGGGAATATAAAAAGTCTTTACACCCCTATTAAAATGCCAGTTATTAGAGATGTAAAAAAAAAAATCAGACTGAAATAAATCACTTCAGAATTTTTTGCACCTTTAATATAACATATAAGCTATATAATTCAATTGAAAAACAAGCTGAATTTTTTTTGGGGGGAGGGAATAACAATAAAAAAATTACATTAATGTGGTTACATAAGTGTGCCCACTCTCTTATAAGTACGGATGTGGTTGTGTTCAGAATTGAGGTAGGATGGCAAGATGGCAGCTTTTTCTTACAAAGAAAAACATCCAAATCTGGCTACATTAAGTCTGACAAAAGCATGGGGAAAAATATGTTATGGTCTGATGAGACCAAGGTTGAACTTTTTGGCTATAATTCCAATAAGTATGTTTAACAGGAGTGTGCACTTTTTATAGCCACTGTATGTATCTATATATAAGATGTACTAGCAATATTAAAAAATATTAAAACATTTTAAAAAGATAGGAACATTTGTTACCAACTTTTTGCTGTATTAAAGATAGGGAATTTCCAAATCTCCTCCAAATCTTAGTATATTTTATATAATAAATGTAATGTAATGTAAATACACATACACACACATATTAGACACATACATGTAGAATATAAAAGTATAAAAACTATATATGGTAGATAGATATAGATATAGAGAACCAGTTTGGTCTAGTGGTTAGGGAACCAGGCTAGAAAGCAGGAGACCATGAGTTCAAGTTCCACCTTAGCAATGAAAGCCAGCTGGATAACTTTGGGCCAGTCATTCACTTTCTCAGCCCACCCCACCTCACAGGGCTATTCTGAAGAAAATAGGAGAAGGAAGTTGTGTTGGATATGTTCTCCACCTTGAGTTAATTGTAAAAATAATAACGGCAGGATATAAATTAAATAAACAATTAAGCATGAACTATTACAGTAATGGCTAACCTTTTTGCCATCGCGTGCCAGGAGAGGGGGGGGCGGGGGAGGGTCACACGCGCACGTGCCCACGCGCATGTGTGTGCAACCCCTTCCCCCCTCCCCCCCGCTCCTGGCACATGATGGCCTGGTAGGCCCGTTTTTCTTTCTTACCTGGTTCCAAATCCTCTCTGTGTATCTGGGAATGGCGAAAACAGCCTTTCCCACTCTCTTAGAGGCCCTACGGAGGCTGAAAGGGCCCATTTCCCAACTCCCGGTGGGACAGGAAGTGACATTTTTTGCTGTCCCCAGACTCCAGAACCTCTCTAGGAGTCTCTAGGAGCCTCTCTAGGAGTCTCGGTTCAGGAAAAAACATCACTTCCTGTCCCACCGAGAGTGGGGAAATGGGCCCTTTCAGCCTCCGTAGGGCTTCCAAGGGAGTGGGAAAGGCTGTTTTCACCGTTCCCAGATACACAGAGAGGATCTGGAGCCAGGTAAGAAAGAAAAACGGGCCTTCCCCACCCCCCCAGGCCCTCCAGAGGCAGGAAACAACCTGTTTCCCTACTTCTGGTGGGCCCAGAAGGCCCGAAAATCAACTGGCCTGCGCGTGCATGTGCCCCAGAGCTGAGCTGGCATGCCCACTAATTTGGCTCCGCGTGCCACCTCTGCATGCCATAGGTTCACCATCACGGAACTATTATATTCTTCCTATAAACTGCAACATAGTCTTCCAGAAAAGAAGGAAAGAAAAAGAGGTAAAGCCTACAATGATTAGTTCAAGTTAGTCATACTGTATGAATCTAAATGCAATGAATGGACAATTTTATCTATAACTTACTTAGCATCTCCTGTTGGTAGTGATTAAGATTGTCATAAACCGGACAAGCTTCTTCTTGAAATTCCTCGTTGCTGTAAAAGAATGCAAGACAGTTTTAAAACAAACAATGTGGACATATTGTATTAAATTGTATTGCAAAATTAGTTTAGAAAAATATGATTTATATGACTAGGTGATGTATTTTAGTTTTCACTGTTTGTTTTTGAATAAACAATTATTTGAAAATAATAGATTGGATTCGAATATATCTCACCTCCCCTCTGCACTTCCTGCTCACCCGCCCATCTTTTAATTCATATTACTTTAATTGTTTATTGTTATTGTTGTTTTTATTGTTTCATTGCTTTATTAATGTTAAGTTTACATTTTTCATCATTTTTTCTGATTTTACTGATGTAAGCTGCTCAGAGTAAATGGAGCAATTAAATTTAGCTAACAAAGAAACATAAATAAAATAAATATCCAGATTTTCATTTATAAAAACAGATTCCTGATGTTCACCATAGAAGATGAGCCGAGGTGGCACAGTGGTTAGAGTGCAGTACTGCAGCTACTTCAGCTGACTGCTAGTTCAGCAGATCAGCGGATCAAATCTCACCGACTCAAGGTTGATTCAGTCTTCCATCCTTCCGAGATGGGTAAAATGAGGACCCAGATTGTTGGGGGCAATATGCTATTTAGTATACTGTCTTTGGTGTAAGCTGCCCAGAGTCCTCAGAGAGTGGGCGGCATAGAAATATGAATAATAATAATAATAATAACAATAATAATAATAATAATAATATCCAAACATGTTTCTTCTGTTTTCTCCTCTTCTATTTCCAGCAGTCCCCTGAAAAATCTAATCAGTGTAAAATATCTTTGAATATTAGTAGCTCAGGTTGATAGTTATGTTGTTGGTTTGAGCTTTGAGCTTGGCGATCTGGTTGAAAATGTTTCATCCCCATTCGAGGAGACATCTTCAGTATGCTTGGATTATGCTTGTCTGGGGGAGCACTGGCCTTTAAATACCTTTCTGAGTCTTAGTCTGATTTCAGGATGTGTGATTGACTGCCTGTAGTTGCTGAGTCATAGTCCTTGGTTTTAAGTACCATCTGTCTGATGTAATTAGTGCTGCTGTTGTTGTTCGGCTCAACATAGCACAATTCTACGGATTCCTGAAAGTACACAAAGAAAACACCCCACTCCAGCTGATTGTCTTCCTCTCTGGCACACCCACCTACAACCTTGCCAAAGAAATGTGGAAACACCTAAAGCAGCGGTCACCAACTGGTGGTCCATGGACCACAGGTGGTCCACGAGAAAATTTTGGTGGTCCGCAGAAAAATTATTTGCATTTTTTATATTGCACTAAATACTATTTATCTTTTTAAAAAAATCATATTAGTGGTCCGCGAGATTTAAAATTATGAATTTGGTGGTCTCTGATGTCCTTTGCACCTAATTGATGACTCTCAATACTCCATAAACAACGCCACACAATTCCTCGACAGGCTCAAACACATATGTATCAACAAAGATGAAACAATGATATCATTCAATGTCACCGCATTATTCACTGGCAGTTGACCTAATCAAAGAACTACTGGACAACACACAGCCACCAAGAGGACCACTCACAACAGAAAGCCCATGCAAACTCTTCCAACTGTGTCTAAACCACCCACTTCAAATTTGACTGAGAGATCTATGAACAACAGAAAGGATCACCCATGGGATCTCCTATATCTGGCCTGGTTTCAGAAGTTATGCAAAAGATCAAAGAGACTGTACTCCCACAAACAAGCCCCAAGCTATGGGTACATTACATTGACGACACCTTTGTGATAGTCAAGCATAACCAGGTCGATCAAACCTACCAAATGATCAACAACATCTTCGCGGATATCCGATTTACAATAGAAACCGAGAATGACAACAAACTGCCATTTCTGGACATCCTTGTAACACCAATGGCCAATTCCTAACATTGGTGTACAGGAAGGCAATGCACACAGATCAAATCCTCAACTTCCACAGCAACCACCCAAAATGCCATAAACAAAGCTGTATCAGAACACTGTTCGGGAGAGCCAAATCCCATTGCAACCCCACGGAAGCCAGATCAGCAGATGAAAAGCACTTATACAAATAGAGAGAAACGGATACCCATGAAACTTCATCCAGAGATGTCTACACACACACAACACAAGCAACCCAACAACTACCACAAATCAAGCAACCCAACAACTACCACAAAAGCAACAATGACCAGATGTATCACGATCCCCTATGTGCAAAATGTTTCAGAAATGATGGCAAGATTGCTGAGCCAACACAGTAGCCCACAAACCAACCTCAATCCTCAGATGGACCCTGTCAAAACTGAAAGGGCAGACAGAAACAAACCAATGATCAGGTGTCATATATTGGATCAATGCAGCAACTGCGAAAACTATGTCGGCCCAACAGGAAGAAAACTATCAACCAGACTGCATGAACACTTCCTGGCCATCTAGAGACATGACCCTCCATTCCTCATGTCCGTCCATGAAGACTCAAAGGAACACATATTCAATCTAACTGGGACCACAATTGTAACCCAGGCAAAGTCAAGGAGAGAAAGGCAATTCTTGGAAGCCTGATTTTCTACCAATAAATCAATAAACAGACACACTGACATCGATCCAATCTACCAACTACTCAGAATGAAAGAACAACATCAACCATGATTCTGAAGGCAGCATTTAAAGACCAATGAATAGCCGCGCTGCAAACAATTATAACTTGACAGATTACAAGAAATCGGACCACATCACACGCAGCCAATCAAATCAACCTGAAGCCAGACCATGACATCATCATAAGATATCTGAACAACACCAGCACTGATTTACATCACACAGACAGTACCTAAAACCAAGGACTATGACTCAGCAAATACAGCCAATCACACATCCTGAAATCAGACCAGGACTCAGAAAGGTATTTAAAGACCAGTTTTCCCCCAGACAAGCACAATCCAAATCACACTGAAGATGTCTCCTCGAATGGGGATGAAACGTTTGCAAACAGATCACCAAGCTTGGAGCTCAAACCAACAACCTATCTAATCTGTCTGTGAATATTATTATTGATTCCAGCAAATTAAGTTCCAATTTTAAACAATGTAAAAATAATTTTAGTGGGAGCCTGAAGTGTTCCAAAAATGTATCAGCCACATATATTAAATTGGGATCTAGAATACATTGGATAAAGGTCTTTCCATGTAAGCACACCGTTTCAAAAAAGGAAGACTTTTGCCATACCTTGAATAATATTCATTATAATCTTCACAAATTTTGCCTGGAAAACATTTTGAAGAAATCAGCAAAATTTAATAAACAAGTTTGGTATTTCAATGTAACTTATTTTTTAAGATGTGATACTTCTTTATTTCTTTATAAAGATACTGCAAAGATAAGATTGAATGCTCTCTGCATTTTCCTTTCCTACCATACACTTCTAACTGCTATGTCCTCTTGGTTTTGCTCCCTCCCTGATATAATTCTGGGTGTCCTCCTGGACGCACGGCTGTCTTTTGAAGAACATATGACGGCCGTGGCCAGGGGGGCTTTTTATCAGGTTCACCTGATTTGCCAGTTGCAGCCCTTTCTGGATCATGACGGCTTGCACACAGTCACTCACGCCCTTGTCACCTCGGACTGGACTACTGTAATGCTCTCTACATGGGCTCCCCTTGAAAAGCACCCGGAGGCTCCAACTGGTCCAGAATGCGGCTGCGCGGATGGTTATGGGCGTAACTCGTTGTGCCCATGTGACACCCCTCCTGCGCAAGCTGCACTGGCTCCCAGTGGTCTTCCGGGTGCGATTCAAGGTGTTGGTTACCACCTTTAAAGCGCTCCAGGGCATTGGACCTGCGTACCTTCGAGACCATCTTCTGCCACCAGCAGCCTCCCACCGGCCAGTCCGCTCCCACAGAGAGGGTCTCCTCAGGGTGCCATCGGCCAAATTATGTCATCTGGTGACACCCAGGGGAAGAGCCTTCTCTGTGGGAGCGCCTGCCCTTTGGAATGAACTGCCCCCAGAAATGCGTAAGATGTCTGATCTCTGTGTATTTCGCTGTGCCCTCAAAACCTTGTTGTTCCGCCAGGCCGGGCTATCAATCTAAAGATTTTAATTGGTTTTAAATGTGGGATTTTAGATTTGGGGGTTTTATAATTGAGCCAATTATTTAATAATTTTAATTATTTTTAAATTTTGTCTGCCTTTGTGCTTTTAATCAGGCTGTACACTGCCCTGAGTCCTTCGGGAGTAGGGCGGTATAGAAATAAAATAAAATAAAATAAAATAAAATAAAATAAAATAAAATAAATAAATAAATAAAAAAAAATTCAGTTCTATCTATATCTTCTAAAGCCTATTCTCTTACTGGTCTTTCTTCTGCCAGAACTTCCCCATGCTCTTTGTTCCCATCTCCACTTTTTCTTCCTCTTTCTTCTTTGCTAAACCTACAAAGCAGTCTACATGCAATCAATAGCAAAAAAACAGTTATAGCCAGTATTTATTCTGCATTTATTGTATATTCTATACTGCATATAGACTGCTTTATAAATTTGGGTAGAGTAGTGTTCCAGGTTCAAAATGTTTCTATATACTCATATAGCCTAGAGTGCTTTTCAAGAAATAAAAGTACTAGCCATACTATATGCAGATTGTATTTTCCCCCCTTTTTCAGCAAGTCTTTGAGAAATGTACGAATGTAGCAAGAATGCTGATTGTATGTGTTGATTTAGGACATAGAAATAAAAAAAAAATAGACTTGAATCATGCAACCTTCACTGCAGATATGGAGTTGAAGGTTAGCTGCTAATGTTGGTAAGAGTATGCATTTGTGTAAAAATAAATGGAATGCTACTGAGCAAAAGGAAGACAGGATAAGTCATATCTCCTTTAGAATTTAATGTATCTATAGAAAAATATATAAGACTGCTTGCAGACATGTATTGCTGGGAATGGGTATATAAGCGAAGTTCTGATGCAAAAGAAAATGTGTTTGCTGAGAATCTATACTGATAATGGCGAACCTATGGCACACAGCGCCCTTTCTGTGGGCACGTGAGCTGTCACCCCAGTTCAGCTCTGCAGCGCATGTGCGTATATCTCCCGCCAGCCATCTGGTTGTCAGGTCTCTGCTGCACATGTGGGGGGGACAAGGGGGGGTCGTTCTTGTATACATGGGGTGGGGCACATGCGGTGGGGTCATGCACATGCATGCGGGGGTGGGGCGCATCAGGTCTGTTGCACATGCACGGGGGTGTGGGCGTGCGGGGGGCATGTGTGCATGCGCAGGAGGGTGGGGCATGTGCGGGGCGCATGCACATGCACAGTGAGGCGGGGCGCATTGTATTTTGGACATCTTGGGCACTCCATCTGGAAAAGGTTAGCCATCACTGATCTATACTATCTACAATAAAAGTTAGATGGTTTGATGTAACAAATAATAGGGATCTGAGCATTTGTATACCAAAGACTAAGGTAATTATGTTTTATAATGGAATAAATGATTGAAAGTGAATGGCAAAAATTAAATGTAATTAGAATGATATGGGTATACCAAGGTAGAAGTTTTACAAAAAATGATAGATGCATGGAGAAATTTTAATAAATAGAAATGCTAGTAGAAAGAGAGTAGGTAAGGTGAGCTGATCTGAGGCACATTTACTTGTTGAAAAAAGTAACAATGTCTGTGCATAAGAGTCTGTTTGTACTCAATTTGTTTTTGTCAAAATGGGTGTTTGGCAGTGGTGGATTTCTACCGGTTCACCCCGGTTAGGGTGAACCGGTAGTGGCGGCGGCAGGAGGCTCCGCCCACCTGCCCAGACGTCATTATGGATGCTCTGCGCATGTGCAGAAGGTTCTGAGCATGCGCAGAAGCATCGTGTGCGAGCGAAGCAAGTGCGTGCTCCTGATTCCGAACCGGCAGCGAAGGTAAGTGGAACCCACTACTAGTGTTTGGTATGTCATGAAAAACACAAAAGTTTAATGCCAGAGAATGGTATACCTAAAAGGATTGTCGGGTAAAAAAAGAAGCAATGGGGGCAAAAATGAATGGGTGCCGGATTAACTGAATAGGTCAAGAGGAAGGAAAAGACTAAGGAAGATGGGGCTGGATGGAGTTCATGCAATTCAGAGAGGGAGGGAGGGAAGGAGAGAAAGAACTATTAAAGTGCAAAATGCCAATGTATGACACATTATATACCAAGCAGGACATAAGAACGGTGAGCAAAGATAGAAATGCCATGGGAAAATGTAGTGAATAGTACTGAGCAGGGGTGGGTTCTAAAATTTTTTACTACCGGTTCTGTGGGCGTGGCTTATTTTGTGGGCATGGCCTGGTGGTCATGTGACAATTCTTTAAGATTTAGCAGAGGTACTGGTCTACCAGGCTTTTAACTGCTTGCAGAGCTGTACTGGTCTACTCATTTGTTTTTGCCATTTGTTTTTGCAGGCATTGGTCTACCCATTTATTTTTGCAGGCATCGGTCTCCTCATTTGTTTCTGCAGGCACTGGTCTACCACCACACTGCCTTTTAACACTGATCAGCTGTAGGGCGGCCTGCTGAAGCCCCGCGGCAAGAGTTTAAACAGTTTTTTTCCTTCTAGCCATCAGCTGGGACTCAGGAGGCAGCAATAGATTGGGGTCCAAATAAAAGGTAAGAATAATGCGGGGGAGGGTGGGGGGCCAGGGGGCAGAACCGGTTTGGTGACGTCATATCGTCACTGCTACCGGCTCGGCGGAACCAGGAGGAACCCACCACTGGTACTGAGTTAGAATTCATTGACCTTTTTTCTTATGTCCTGCCTTTCACGTCTTTGCTTATTGATTTGTTATTCTCATTCTGTGCTTTCTATAACAGGCTGTAACAAAAAAACCAAATAGAGTTAAATATATGTATGTCTGTATGTAGTATTGTAACTTTGCTCTGCAGTATTCCAAAAATTTTCTGAACTTTTGTTGGATCCTTTTTTTTAAAAAAATAGCTCTAGGTTGGAGACATTAAAATCTGGGCTATTTCTGTTTTCTGGCTGAGAGTGATGGTGCTGGCAGTGGCTATAGAATTTCATTTTTGGCTCATATGGTACCTGAAGGCATTTGGCTTTTCTATGACAACTAAAGGCATCTGCACATAGTAATAGGAATTCAGCAGCTTATATAATTACTAGAAACAGCTGTAAAGAAGCTTCAACAGCCATCATGCTATAATAGTCATTTACTAAGGGAGGTTTAAATTTGACAAATGCCTACAGTTTCTTCTAACTACATCTGGCACAGTGAACAGATGTGTGATGCTTCTTGTTAAACCACAACTTAAAGTATCTCATAAGTATAAATATATCTGAGATTATTTTTAATGTGGCCTTAGTAAAAATTAGCACTACCTTTACTGAGATCAGATAAAGGATTACTCTTTTTATTCCATTGCAGATGAAACGGAAATCTCACTTCCTGCTATTTCTGTAATTTACAACTTACATTATTCTAGTCAAAAGTGTTGTATTTTTTTGCGGTTGAGTTTGATTTGCCTCCAAATCAAACTCGGCTTATTTTCATTAGTTCACTTCATATGAAAGCATTAATTAAAGCTTAGTTTAATTTAAAATTTATACGTCCATATTTATTAATATCAAATATATATTTTGAGACACTATCTTACTACCATCAATTATGTTATCACATTTATTTACACTAGATCAGAATATTGGTACAGTAGTGTTTAGACTAATGTTAATATGAAGAAGCTTCAGTGCTACAGATATTATCCGACTCTAGCTGACATCAGCAACAATCTGCAGAGCTATTGGTCAAAATCCATTTTACTATATAGGTAGTTTATTTCTATCCCAGAGATAAATCTGTTGAGTATTTAAGTAAACCTGTTGTGTATTCTCTACTATTCATCTATCAACTCTCTTTGCTTAGTTGTATATCAGAATTGCAGCTAAATTATTCAATTTTATTTACCATACTTTTCGGAGTATAAGACACACTTCCCCCCCCCCATAAAAGAGGGTGAAAATTTGGGTGCGTCTTATACACCAAATGTAGCCCCGCCCACCACTGGCCCCCACCCTTCAGCCATTTTTAGCCTCCGTGCATCACATTTTTGGCCTCCACACGCTGTTTTAGACTTGTTCCAGGCTGCGGGGATAGCCACAGACCATCACCGTCTCCGTGCCTCATGTTTTTGGCCTCTGTGCCTCGCATTTTTGGCCTCCGAATGCTCTATTTTAGACCAGTTCCAGGCCGCAGGGATCGCCACAGCACATCACTTCCGATCACCACCTCCATGCATTGCATTTTCAGCCTACATGCGTCACATTTTCGGCCTCCGCATGCCCCGTTTTTGGCCCCCACGCATCGTGTTTTTGGGTGGATTCCGGCTGGTGGGGATTGGCGGCGGTGGCAATCCCTGCTACTTGTAACCATCTGAAAATGTGATGCAGAGAGGCCAAAAACGGGACATGTAGAGGCAAAAAATGCAATGCGGAGGCAGAAAACGTGATGCATGGAGGTGGAGATCGGAGGCAATGTGCTGTGGTGATCCCCGCAGACTGGAACAGGTCTAAAACAGAGCATGCGGAGGCCAAAAATCTCGAGGCACAGAGGCTAAAAACACGAGGCACGGAGGCGGCGATGGTCTGTGGCAATCCCTGCAGCCTGGAACAGCTGATTGGGGGTATTCGGGGAGGCTGATCCACCTGCCAATCAGCTGCTCATGCTGAATCAGGTTGTGATAATGTGCAGAAGCTGACCAGGCTGTTTTTTGCAAGGACGCTAGCCAGATGAATACCGATGGGTGCTGGTAGGCAGAGGCAGAAATTTTTTTTTTGTTTTCCTCCCCAAAAACTAATGTGCGCCTTATACTCCAAAATATATGGTAATTTTAATTGAAATTGTATCTGTTTTCCTTTGATCTACAAAAAAGCTGAGTTTTTTAAATTTATATAGTTCCTATGACTATGATTCTATCATAAGAAAAAACATTATTAACAGTCATACTCCTCTCTTCTACATCTGTTCCTTCAGTTTGCCTTACCTTTTTCTTTCTTGCTTTTTAAGAAGTATAAAACATTTTTTAGTAAAGAAATTATCATAATAACAGTTACAAAAGAAAGAGGTATCCAGCAAATGGTACACTGATTAGCTTCCATTCCTGTAAAAAGATAACAAATGTAAACAAAAATAAGAATTTTGGTTCATTTAAATTTTTCAATTCAGCATTCATCTGACATGCTGGAATATTCATGTATGAATTTTACAAACACAAACAAACACTACTTTTTTTTTTTTGAAAGGATCTTTGGATATGGGTAAATACATTATATGAGATATTTTCAAATTCTGAATAACTAATTGTATCTGTGTGTTCCCATTTGAAATGTATAATTTTATTTGCTCATATATTGAAAAAATTTATATCCATTTTTCTAATATTAAGGCATAACCAGTTAACAATTACTATAGAATTGTTAAAGAAAGGAGAAAATGTAAATTCTACTTCAGGAATGTTTTAAAAAATGACTGCATAGGAACGTAGGAAATTACAAACCTGTATTCTCAATTTTTGTGCTAATTCTGCAAACTTTATGAAGAATGTATCAGAAAGGTTGTGATTCTTTTTTCCAGAAATTTTGAAACCATTGCAAGAATAACAAAACACGTAAGATATTCTCCACACTTTGTAAAGTCGGGATGTGCTTTATTTGCTGACAAATTTACATCTTTTAAAAATAGATAGTTTATGTACTGAATATCAGTGAAAACATCTTAATGAAACTATCCAAAAATGTCAAATAATTACAACTTTTGTTTTCTCGAAAAATCTGAGCAGAAATCAAACAGAGCAGGTAACATTTGCAAACATATGAGAAATATAGGAAAACATAAAAGAATATAGAGCAGGTCAACATTTAAAAAAAACAGGGAGTTTAATGAAATGTATTCTAGGATTTGTACCACCTACCTGGGCTGCCACAGTGCTGTAAATTCAAACTTCAACAGCTATGCTGATTAACTTCTAGCCAGAGAAAACTGTGCAAAGACACCTTTGCAACAATTATTTTGGAGCTATGGGCAAACAGTGTCCTAAAAGATTAAGGTTCCCCTCGCACATATGTGCTAGTTGTTCCCGACTCTAGGGGGCGGTGCTCATCTCCGTTTCAAAGCTGAAGAGCCAGCGCTGTCCGAAAACGTCTCCATGGTCACGTGGCCAGCATGACTAAATGTGAAAGGCGCACAGAACGCTGTTACCTTCCCGTCAAAGGTGGGCCCTATTTTTCTGCTTGCATTTTTTATGTACTTTCAAACTGCTAGGTTGGCAGAAGCTAACTAATGGGAGTAATGGGAGTAAGTAATGGGAGCTCACCCCATTACGCGGCACTAGGGATTCGAACCACTGAACTGCTGACCTTTTGATCGACAAGCTCAGCGTCTTAGCCACTGAGCAACCGCGTCGCTGTAAACAGTGTCCTGCAGGTAGGGATTTCTGCCTTGTCCTGCCTCCTCTCTCTCCTGAAGTCAAAGTGTCTTAGTAACTCAACCACCATCATTTGCCACACAATCACCAGTCTTTTTCTTTACCGCAAAAACTAATGCAATGAGGAAAGTACATACTGTGGTCAGGGGTATCTGTAATGATGGTCACTGGATTTCAAAGTGGCAAGCACAGCAGGGAGATCAAAGTTCCACCCCTTTTTAATATGTGGAACAGCATTGCAGGCTTGCAAAAGGGAACAAGGCTTCAATCACTTAGTTGTGCCTACCATTAGGCATATCCCTGATTGATTGGAGTACTTTTTTTCCATTCCAGCATCTTTTGCATTCAATGTTATCCTATCCCAAGCAAATGTACTAAACGTACATTTTGTGACATTGCTGTCACAGTTATGATAATAATGCAATGAAGGCCATGATTTTCCCAACTGCTGACAGTCACTTTTAACTGCTTTGGCTATGCTACTACTTTTCAGTTGCTGCCAACTTCTCTCCAATGCCACTTTAGGTGGGCAGCAGGAAAGGTCAAGAATCCAGTATTTGCCTGTGTAATGCCTGCCTTGCACATCGCAAAGCACGGACCAGACATTCCACTGACTGCTTATCTACACATGTGAAAAAGTAAAAACCTTTTACCTTTGCCAACAGGCATATTGGCAGTGATTCAAGCAAGAAAGGGCTCTGGGATAGTGGCACAGGCTGTCTATCAGATGTTTTAAAAGAAGCTGAGGCAGGTGAGCAAGAGAGAACAAGAAAGATAAGCGAGCGAATAAAACTCTTAAATGAGCACACGTAAGTAAGAAAGCTGAGCAAATAAGAGCGAGAGAGATGAGAAGCAATTAAGAGGCAAAGAGAAGAAAGCAAACAACAGAATGAGAAATCTTATAAGCGAAAAGCCTCCAAGAAGCAAGAAACACCAAATGAGAGAGACAGCATGAAAAATAACAAGCATAAGAGTATTGTAATAAGAGAGGCAAAGATTAGCAGGACTTTAGTGGGGACTCTTTAGTGGGGCTGTAGTGTCTGATCCGCAGGATGAGTGTGGGCTTCCAGCAGAGCGGGAAAACTGTAACCCCACAAATCAGGTTCTGAAAGATAACCAAACCAATAGGTTGCCAAATGTCAAAGCCCCCTTCTTGTCTCAGCCCTATCCCATAGCATGGAGAGTGAGTAGTAGATGTTTTGTCCCATTTGCAGGATATTCACCAATGATTTGGACGCTTGCTGCCTCATCATCAGATCAGGTTAACACTTCAATGACAAGACAACGCAAACTATACCAGCTTTTGAGTTGCTATATTTCTCGAATTGGAACAATGTTAAAGAATGCAGTACAGGATCAGATACACCCCTATCCCAAAGGTGTTTTTTCAAGAAGCAACTAGACTTTTTTTTGGTTTTTCCTTGAAGACATTTCACTTCTCAACCAAGAAGCTTCTTCAATTTTGAAGGATTTTAGCCTAGGACATCTTCGCCGTCATTATATCTAATAACAAAATGTTTGGGCCGTAGAATTCAATGGAAAGACTATTTTTAACTAACAGAGTTCAATTATTCTTAGTTGTCAGAGGATTTTCCAGTGATTGCACATAAACTCTGGATCCCTCAGCCTGAATAGACTAGGTCGAGACTCTATTAATAGGCTCATTTATCTTATTTTCTTAAATAAATGTATTTAAAGCTTCATTGAAATTGTTGTGTTTGCCTGATCTTGATTTAATTATGCTTACTTTGTTGTATTTCATTTATTACAACTGTTCTTCTATTTGATGAATTTTAATTATTTGAGAGTAAACCTTAGTGTACACCAGCACTAGTTTGTAATATAAATAAGTTATCATAGAAATAAAATATGATAACCAGTGGCTGGGATCCACCTTGCCTTTGCTTATGCAAAAGACCCGGTTTTTTACTCTCTATTCTGTCTCTTTCTCTCTCACACACAAATATATACAAATTACAACATTAAGATCTTATGATTCCCACAAACAATATTACAGAATGAGCGCAAGAATTTACAGCAAGAAATATTGTTTTACGAGCATTATTCCATTGAATAATGCTGGTTAATTTTGCAGTTAGTCAGCAGTGCACACCTTGTTTCAGGTGGAGGTATGGCTTTAGCTCTTGGATAATACGTCAGCAGCACTAGACTTTAAAAAGTAGGTAGGCCATGATAAATAACTAAGATATATGAGAATTAAATTTGATTTATATAATTAAAATAAAATTAATGCCATTTGTATGATTATTCCCTATGTATTTAATTATTTCCCTTCTATTGCATTGAAATTATGATTGAGAGGCAAACTTTTAGAGGGGCTCTGGAATTACATTGCTTGGAGCTTTGATATGTGTAGCTATGTTTTAGATAATATTTAGATATCTCTGGCAGAAATCAATAGAATTGATCAAAATGAAATGTAATTATCTTTGTAGAAAAAATACTAAAACAGAATCACTCTACGATAACATTCATATCTATCATTTTGTTTTTAAGTGTAGCTATTCTATTTTTCTAGAATATAGAACACATAATACTATTAAAATTTTTGGTAACAATTATCTCATCATCTTCAAATTCTGCCCAGAATATAATCATAATAATTAACACCAATTAGTAAATCTCCATGGACGTTATCGCTGTACAAAAACTTTATTAAGACCACAGTATGAATATACATGCATTCATGTTTTCCTTTATATCAACTCTGATTCAATTTAATCAGACTTCTCCAACTGTTACTTTTTGGATGCGCTGAGGTTAACAAATCTTGTAAAATTGCTGAAATATTCTTTTTAATTGCATGTATATAATTGTCCCTTTCTTACTGTCATTGGGATATGTGATCTTAGAGCAATAATGACACACCTTTCGGGAAAAAAAATATGCAAAAGCACAATCTTTCCTATCAGTAATTGAAGAAGTACTACAAGAAGTAATGTTCTTAACTTACAACCCTGTTTTTGCAATGCTGTATGGACCTTTTTTAAAGCAACTACCTCAGTCAGACTTAATCATACACTCACTTGTCATTATATGTGAAACTATTTTGTCAAAAAGTATCCAGATTACAACATAATTCTATATGGATAATTCCGTTGCATAACTACTTTTGTATTGAGAAATTATAAAAATGAAGTACTGGCTAAAGGGAGATCAACAACTAGGATTAAAATCTCTATGTCATACAAGCCATCACACTGAACCGACAAATATATAGAAGCTTAACAGAAGGAAGTACTTCCTGGCATATTAAGGAAATACTGGATACATTTTTACTACTTTTACTGTCTATACCACTTTACAAAGCAAATCAAAAAGGAACTAAAATAATTCAAATTATGACATTCAAATGAGCACCAGTACTAACTAAATGGAGTAAAAATTCTGCATGCTTTAAATAGTTGATGTATGAAAACAACTAGAATAATGATTGCTGCCTTATATCCACTTATCTGGGAATAAATCTAATTGAATTTATTAAGACTTCAGTCGAGGTAGACTTTACACCTTAAGGTAAATATATTTATGAGAAGAATCATGTTGGGGATTCATATCTCCAGGAGTATCAACTGTTTTAATTAAGGGATCACCTATGGTCCATTGTTTTCTCATTCCATACAATATCACTCAAAGGCAATGCAATTTATATTTCA